GAATGGATTTTCAGAATCGAAACGGAAAAAAGACTCGAGAGCTTTTTGGGCTGTTTGCAATAATTGGATTTAACTTTAGAGTGGGATTTAATATAATAATAAAGAAAATTTACATACATACCACTTTATAATATCCTATTACATATCTAACACCTAAAACTTTAATATTACATCCTACACCCTATATTATTTTAATATAACAAATATACCTACTTATATTCTTTCTACCACTCTATATTTCATCTTTACCACTCATTTTTATATGAAATGAACTATGGTCGTATTTATGTAAATTAAATTTTAGGTGTTAAATATATAAATAGATTATTATTAAGTGATGTATGTAAACTCCCTTTATAAATTCGTAATTTAGATTTATTAAATTGAAATATAAAATCCTGAAAATTTTTATATGTAAATTTCATTGTTAAAACTAATAATAATTAATTTTTTTAGTTCATATAAATGAGTGAAATTCATAAAAAGCAAATTACAAACTAACATTTATCAAAGTGACACATGAGTATTACATAAGCTAATTTATAATTAATATTTAATTACAATTTATCATTAATTAGTTAATTTAGGTTAAGTAAATAATTATTATGCTACTAATTATATATTTTTATTCATTATTTATATTATTAATTGTTTAATTTATTAATTAAGTTAAGCAATAATATTTGAGTGCGTCTTAGGGTTTGTTCTTTCATCTTTTCTTTTCGTCGTTGCTGTTTGGTACATTGCTTCGCATAATGGTGAGTTTGCGCGGCATCGCTGCTTTTCGCTCTCATGGCTGTTTGACTTCGTCTCTTCGAGACTTTCCTTCTTCGGGTCGAGTTACGGCATTTTGATCGGAAGCAACAAGGAGCTTGCTGGCTGTAAGGTTCTCCCTTTCGCTCTCTTCTTCTCGACACGGATGCCGGTGTTAAGTCTTCCGTCAATCTTTCAAATCCTGTTAATCCAGCGAAAGCGAGGGATTAATAATCGCAGTTAAGCCGGAAATTCGGGGGAGAATGATCCTGAGTGAGGTAACACGCGCTAGAAACCGGTTGCGCCGAGTTTAACGGTAAATCGTTAACGAGAAAGCGATACCAAACAGCCCCTAATGGCAAAAAGATTAGCGTGGTAAAATCGAGTAAGTAATAAGGTTAAAAAGATATAGATATTTAAGATAATAAGTAATAGAAATGAAGAAAATAAGGTAAAAACGACTTAGATTATGTACAGTCGGGCTTACAAAAAGACAGGACCGGCGTACGAATCATGAGGCAAAAGCAGGGAAAACGTCCAAACGAATTAGATTGGTGCCAGTCCGAACCTCGAGGTCAGCGAACGGACAATTGGAAACGAAAGGTGTCGTCGAAAAAAAAACCCAACGACACCAAATGCACGCAAGGGAACCCAGGCCAAAGCAAGGAGCCCCAAAGCAAGGGGGGAAGAGGCAAACCAAAGAGGGAGGACCAACGCAAGGGCCCAAATGGGGAACATGCGGAGAGGCGGGAGGCCGGAAGCGAGGGCCGAGGGAAGAAGGCCAAAAGAGCAGAAAAGATCACTAAAGGTATGAACAGGAGGAAAGACCTGGCAAAAGGGCTTACAGAAAATTTCTCCGCCACTATGACTTCCCCTCCTTTTCGGTTCCATTGGTCTCCTACCGACACCTTCCATAGTTCCATGGCTTCGTCTACCCTACTTCCGCTCATCCTCGTTTTCCTGCATGGTCTGCGCGGCGGCGATGGCTGCTTCACCGCAATCTTCAGCTTCGGCGATTCCATCGCCGATACTGGAAACCTTCTCATCTCCGAACACGGTAATATCCAGTCCGCCAGGCCCCCTTACGGCCAGACTTTCTTCAACCGCCCAACCGGACGCTACTCGGATGGCCGACTTATTATTGATTTCATCGGTCCGTGTTCTCTCCTTTTCTGTACTGTGTTTCTTCTTCTTCTTCTTCTTCAAGCCTTACGTAACCGAACGATGAGCAGCGGAGGCTCTGGGATTTTCTTTTATGCCGCCCTTCCTAGAAGGGCCTGGCGACGGAGGGTTCCGGCGAGGGGTAAACTTCGCTGTGGCTGGGGCTACTGCGCTCGACGTCCACTTCTATAGGGAGAGGGGCATGGACGTCATACGGACGAACCTCTCTCTGCAGACTCAGTTTGGATGGTTTAAGGAATTGCTGCCCTCTATCTGCTCTACAGATTCAGGTCAGTCACTCCACAGAAGAAATTATTAACTTCTTATTGAAGGCAGTAGTTTAGCTTTTTGTTTTCCAGAAGTGTATTAGATTTCTGTTTAGTACATTTTTTTTTTTATGAAGATATTTCTGTGATAAATTAGTCCCCAAAGATGTTGTCACTATTTCCCCTCCCCCTCCCCCTCCCAAAAAAAAGAAAAAATAAATTGGTAAAAAAGAAAAAGCTAAAATATCCGCTAAAAACTTTTACAAATCATATTTTCCCCATAAGAATTGTGCGACTGACTGAAAATGGACCCTAATTCCACTTGAAATAACCGCTAAGGCCATCTCAAAAAAAAAAAAAAAAAAACCATCTCCAAAGGGATCAATTATTCGGTGCGGACACCAAACACTGTCCGGAGACCAGCCAGAATGCACTAGGTCACCCCTTTGCTCGTACCGTAGCTCGGCACCACTAATGTGACACATTCTGATTGGTCTCCTAACGACATTCTATATTCGGCCTCTGCACATAATAATTTCTTTTCCAAGGGAGCACATGCGTATGCAGTCCACCGACAACTTTAACCAAATCCAATTCACATGGTAATGTGAGAAAGTGAATAGTGTGATGCCATTGTTCACCAACGTATTTTTTTAAAGCAAAAAATTCCGTTGAGAAAAAAATATATGCATAATATTTTTTTTTTTAAAGAAATGGAGTTTGATTTAAAATGAGTTACTGTATTTCGGAATTGAAAATGAATTTTCCGGTCGGAGATGACCTAAATGGATGAAAGGAAAATAGAGAATGTGATGAAATTTTTTGTTATATTATAATTGCCTAATTACTACAGAGAATATGCTTCCTTTCTATTGAACTGCAGCATAGGCATAGGTACAATAGGCTTTTCGCTTGAAGGGTTGGTGATAGCTGTAGTAGTTTAAGGGTGGTGACGATACAGGTTTGATTCTGGGGATATGGCTTTCTGGATTCTGTTATAGTTAGTGTTATTACTGCCACTGAGAACGAATTAATGTAGCTAACTTTCCTATTAATACATTATCTAATTCAGCATTCTCATTTACTAAGGATTTTCTAATCATTCATAACATCATTAAAAAGCAAATTAATTTAAGTAGCGAAAAATACACTTTTGAAAAAAGTTGTATATGTCGACAAAAAGGTTTAAAGAAAGTTACTATGTTTTGATTTGCATCCATCTTTTAAATCACCACGTATAAGAAATTTAATGTAAATGCTTATGGCCCCATTAAATTTTGTTAAAATTTTATATCTAGTTTCTAATCTATTAATTTATCTGCTAATATGCTAATTTATTTTTATTATTAATTATGAAGACATTCTATTATATATATGAGTTAGCAAATTGACTCCTTGGCTAAAAGCATAGCTCCCCACTTGTAGAATTCTACAGTTTTGAAAGATGATTATATTATCACTGAGAAAACTTCCAGTAATCAAACTATTGAGTATTATATTAGTTTATTGAAAGAATGAGCCACCTGCTGATGGTTGGACCGCATTTATTTAAAGATTAGTCCCATAGGTGGTAAAATATTTCTTGTAACTAAGTTCTTAAGGAAATTGATATGACGCTTCAAATGATTCAATCAAATCAACCCACGATACCCATTACATGGTAAGAGCAAAGGCCCAAGCTAGCAAGAGCCTATGAACATGAGCTCATTTAAATATAAATTTATTTTGTTATTTGAATTTCATTTTCTTTCAAACACCCTTAGAAGCATGTATAAGTGGCCCCTTAATGGAGAGGGCATGGAAAATAAAAATTATTTTGAAACAATCCTCCTTCCTTTAGTGGTTTCCCCTTTCTTTCCCGCAAATTTTTTCGTCAAAAATATGTTAGCCCAAGAGACATGTAGTACTTGTAAATATGACTTGAAATACTTTGCAGTATTATATCAATAAATGAAATATTTTGATTGAGAAGTGTTTTTTATTTGCTTGATAGCTTCAAATATTTTGCTATCTTTGTCTCTTTGATGAGTTAGGTAGTTTCATTATTTTTTTTTAAATTTCTTGTTACTCCTCTATAACAACTACTCTAACCTATCTTTATGGATGATGCTTCATAAGCATTATTCAAGTTTGCTAATTTGTTGGTCTAGAGGAGTAAAAAGAAATTATTCAAGTTTAGCTTTGTCGACTCCTCCTTGTTACTTAATAAACACATTTTTTTATGGATGTTTTTATTGTTGTACGTGGATAACATTTTGGTTTTAAAAAAAAGTACCTAGGCAATTTCTGAACTTATATTAAGACTCCCGACTTCCTTTCATCTATGCAATGTAGGGCTTGTCTCCCACTTTCTCAGGCTCACCTCCACTCCAACTTTGTATGGACTTTTGCTTTGTCAAATAAGGTACACTCATCTTTAGTCCTCCGTCATGCAAAACTACAAAGTCTTATCTAACCTTAATACAACCAAAATTCCCCCTCCACACAGCTATGATATGAACTTCCCAAACCCACTCTTCATAGGCAATTGGCTAGATCCCTATCTCATAATCATATGAACCTATATCTCCCTCATTGTAAATCATCATTGCAAATCCACGAACAAATCCCTTGAAGTCCATTTTCGATAATCTTAAATGCTTATTTAGATACATTTTGGGAACTCTCAGCTATATGACATAGCAATGTTTCAAGATCAACTCTATCTCATCATTTATACTATTTCAAATTGAGCCAGATATCCCCATGATCATAAATCAATAGTAGGATATTGTACATTTCTCTTTAAGACCCCCATCTTGTGATGTATTGAGAAAAAAAATTTATCGCTTGATTCTCAATTGAGGCAAAATATCGTGCATTAGTAATGACATCTATTGATATCATATGGCTTCATAAATTGCTACTTAAAATTGATGTTCTCTCACTTGAATTAATAGCTCTATAATGCGATGATATTTCACTTTGTTAATAACCTGGTCTTCCACGCACACACCAAATACATAAAAAATGATTATCATATTTTAAGAGGATAGATCACATCAAAGGAGATCACTACTCATCACTTTGCCTCCAAAGATCAACCAGTAGTAGATTTATTCACCAATGGATTATGTGCAAAATATTTCAAATCCCTCAAGGACAAACAGTTGCTCCATACAATATTTCAAAATGTGAGATCTTAGTTGTTTTAGAGAGAATACTATTGTTAACAAATTTAGAATAGGGAAATGCAAGTCTAAAATTCTTAAACTCTTGCCAACATGACATCAAAGTAAAATTTATAATGTTTGTTTTATTATTTTCAATTTGCTGAAGATGATAAGAATTTTTGTTTAGTGCGAAGTAATTTCCATAAGATTTTTTAAAAGTGTAAAAGAAATATAACATAATGATCAGACATAATGGTACTCAAAGGAAAATCATGTTGGAGCACAATTTCTTTGTAGAATAATCTAGTAATATGGGAAGCTTCATTAATTTTGGAGCATGGTACGAGATAGTCCATTTTAGAGTTCATTGATAATAATAAAGTATTATCATGTTCTCAAATTATTTTTGATAATCCTAAAAACACAATTAAATGATAGATTTTTCCAAGGTTTATAAGGAATGGGTAAGATAATATATTGATTAGACTTTTCTTTGAAGGTTTAAGTTTGTGTATAAGTTGTACATTGATTAACTTGCCAACTTCGATTCTCCAACCTCCATCGTTAGTTAGCTAAGATCCTCAGACCATTGTCATTCGACAACAACTCTTCTGACTTTCATCACGTGCTGACTATGGTCCTCTGGTCATCGCCTCTCAACTACAATCCTTGAACCACCATTGTTTGGCTACGATCCTTCGACTTTCATTGCTCAACGTAGATCCTTTCGACCTCCTTCACCTGATCATTATCATTCTGACCTCTTTCATCTGATCATTATCCTTCTGACATTTGTTGCCCACCAATTATGGACTACCATAGAACGACTACAATCCTTGAACCACCGTCGCTTGACTATAGTTCTTTTAACTACTATCGCGTATCTACATTCCTTTCGATCTCTATCTCCCTCCTACTATGGTCCTTCGACCTCCGTCTCTCATTGACTACGATCCATAGACCACTGTTGTCCATCAACCACAAACATTGGACCATTGTCGCCTAGCTACCTTCGCCCAATTACGGTTCTTCAACAATTGTCGCTCGACGACTATGATCCTTCCGACCACCATCACCCATCATTTATGATCCTTTCTACCTCAATTGCCTGCCAATTACAATCCTTCAACCTTCGTTGCTTATCAACTACAATAGTCTGACCTATGATTTTTTGTCTATTATCTCCTGGTCACTCCTACACCTACTAGTTTCAACACCTACCATTGCTAATAATGCCAACACATGCTATTAATTACATGACCAGTGCACGCCGTTAACACCTATTATGACTCAAAATTTCATTAATGATGGATTTCTGCCGAAGGGCTCTTTTTAATTTCAACAATATAATATATTTTTTGCATAGTATCAATGTCTTCCTCAAAGAAGGGCATCATTTGTAATCAATGATAAATATTAGGGAGATTTACATACATACCATCATATACTATTCTATTTACATATTTAATTCCTAAAACTTTAATATTACATACATACCATACATAGTTTATTTTCATATCAAATATGAGTGGTAGAAATGAAATATATGAGTGGTATATTTGATATTAAAATAATATAAGATGTTATGTATGTCATATTAAAATTTTGGGTGTTAGATATGTAAATATGATGATATAAAGTGGTATGTATGTAAATTTTTCTAAATATTAATTGAATTATTTCAACTGGGCTAGCCATTCTGATTTTGCCCTTTTCTAAACTTTTCACATAAAACATTAAGTGTGCACTCCTCTCTTATGTATGTGGATTGGATTTTTATGCAAAAGTAGGGCATTGAACTTTTTCTCTCTACTATTGTAAATGTTTTAGCATGCAACACATCAATTCAATCTAGAACAATGAAGTTTGGCAAATAGTGATATTCCAGTTAAGAAATAAATACAAATTTCTTAAAATTGAAATGCCAATAATTTGATTTCATTTTTTAACGTCCTCTATCCTCAACATCAAATTCTATGTTCCTCGTTTGTTCTTTTTTGAAGGAAGCATTTAGAACCTTCAGTAGAAGATCTTTAAAATTTAACTTTTCATGGCAGATTGCAGGATCTTACTCGCAACTTCACTCGTCCTAGCTGGGGAGATTGGTGGTAACGATTTTGCCTACGCATTTGGATAAGGTAAATCTCTCAGTGAGTTCAAATCCTATGTTCCTATTGTGAACCATGCCATCGGTGTGTTGATAAACGTATATGCTAATTCCATCCCATCTTCTTCAGATTCCTCTGTCAATATTAATCTTCGTTTTGAGTATCACAGTCTTTGACTTTATGCCAGGATTTGATCGAACTTGGTGCGAAGACATTGTTGGTTCCAGGTAACTTCCCCATTGGATGCACTCCGATATATCTCATTATGTTTGAGCACTCAGAGGACCATGACCTGAGCACCGGTTGTATCTAATGGTTGAACGATTTCGCTCAATATCAAAACAAGCATTTGTAGCTGGAGCTCGACCGTCTTCGAGCTCTGCACCCCACCCCCATGCGACCATCATATATGCTGATTACTACAATCCAATCATGAACATAATCTCCAATCGAAACAAGAATAGTGAGCCTATCTCTCTCCTCTATTCCTTTTGCCATTAGCTGCTTCTTGTTTTGCGCTTGTTCATTATAACAGTTACTTGTAGGAACCAGAAAAGTGACTTTGGCTGCCTGCTGTGGCGGCGACGGCCCTTATAATTTCGGCAATCTGGTGCATTGCGGAGATGACAGCGCAAGCGTTTGCGATGACCCATCATTATATATTTCCTGGGATGGGGTGCACCTCACTGAAGCGGCTTATAGATTCATTGCCGAAGGATTGTTGGAAGGGCCTTTTGCTGATCCACCTATAAAAGAAGTCAGGCTCAAAAGGTCGATGATGCCTGACGAAGATACTAATCCAGGCAGTTAAGGAAAGGCATAAAATTTGAAAACCAAAAGCTTGGGTTCCCTTATATATGCTATGCCTCTGTTAATCACTGCTATAAGCTCTGTTAAACCTATGTAGTATCTTAACTAGTCGCAAGGGCGTAATGATGGACATGGATTCGCTAAACCCTATGATTGTTTGTGTGGCGTCTAAAAAGTAAAAACACTCCAAATTATGGCTTAGGAGTTGTTTGTTGAATGTTTTTAAAATAAAAATATTTTAAAAATACAAAGTAATTCATATATATTATAAAAATGTGGCTTATTTAATGTAAATAAAATTTATTGAAATAGTTATGTTTTTTATGATGTATTTCAAATTCAATTTTGATAGGAGCGTGTTTTTAGCGGCTATAGGCATAAGTGGATTTTGATTTTTTTTTTTTTTTGCAAGGAAATGCTCAATGCATTAAAATAAAAGCTATTACAAGCTTATTAAAGCAAATCTAAAGCATCACATTCCTCCTTTAAAAGTAACAAGAAAGGAGGAATGCCTACACAACTAAGGTCATCCCAAATAAATTTGCTAAACAAAGTAAAATTAGCATATAAATTGGCTAATTTATTTCAACTTCTACTACAAAAATTAAAAGAAATTTGATGAAAATCTTGAAGAAAAGAAAGATTTTCCTCCACCAGTTTATTTTTCTTCAATTTCTTCAAAGAATGTTGAAGTAATATGATGATATTAACATTATCTTCTTCTATAATGATACCATGTGCTTCCAATATCCATTTCTGAATAACACTTTTCAAAGCACAAACTGTCAATACTTCTAATTATCCTACGTCCCAATGCAAACATTTGAAACAAAAAGCAAGCAAGAATCTTCCTTTATTATATATGAACACTCCACCAATACTAGCCTTGTTATTACTTAATAAAGAAACATTAATATTCGCCTTTATCCATTCAAGTGGAGGGGGATGCCAATAACAAAATAGCTTACGCTGGTTAACACCATAGTTATCCGAATAGACATTAATAACTGATGATGTCGAAGCCATCAACACCGTGTTAGAAACAATAAGTAATATCGTATCCTCCTTATCTCCATGAACCACTTTGTTTCTACTTTTCCAAGATAGAAAAATAACTGTAAAATAAATGTTTGCAATGAAAGAATTAGTACCCAATAACCTCCTCAATCCATTTGTACAATTAACAAAATATGAGACCACTGGAACTTGATATCCCCATTTATTTAAGACTACTATGATTTCCCTTATTTTTTCACATTCCGCAGCTATATGGCTTGTTTCCTCCATAATATTGTAGCCTCTTGGACACCCAGAATAATCAAGCAATCTTCTATACATTTAAAAAAATATATATTGGAAGGAAGAGCATCATTAAATACACGCCACCAAAACAATTCGACACGTGGTCTCAAACGAATCTTCTTCATCCAGCTCCAAAAATCTATACCAAACGCATAATCCATTGAAGCCTCCTGAAACAAAGCAACAACCGTCTTTCCCACAACTTTCATCTTCAGTTCCCCTTGATCCATACAGTTATCCTTATAAATTGGAATTTGCAAAATGAGTTCAATCAAATGCTTTCCAAAATAAGTTTGAAGCTGAGGCTCTTTCCAAACTCCTTTTGAGATAAATTTACTAAGGCCATAACCCACATCTTCTAAATTAGCTACAAACATAGGCCACTTATATATGCTTTTATCAAGAATCCATGTATCATGAAAAATATTTATAGAATATGCATTAGAAACTTTCCACCTTACTATATATCGAAGACATGCTGCACCATTAAGCAAAATTCTCCAGGTAATAGAGCTCCCCTTCTTCACCACCGCATTCCAAATATATGTGCCATAGTTCGCTATTAAATTATGATTCAGCAAAGAGTTTGGATTCATAATGAAGTTCCAAGCAAACTTAGTACGAAGAGGTCCCACGTTAGTAACAATAAAGAATAGACCATGACCACCCTTATTTTTTTGTTTACATAACAAATTCCAAGCAGCATAATGCATACCTTGATTACCATTATGCTTCTTCCATATGAAACCTCTACACATCTTATTAAACTCTTTCAAAACCCCTGAAGGCACTAAAGAATACATTAACAAAAAAATAGGAAGAGAAAGAAAAATAGATTTCACCAGGACCATCCTTCCTTCCAAAGAAATGAATTTCTTACCCCAAGTATTCAATTTATTCAAAGCTACTTCCATCAGCTTTTAGAAATCTGAGGCTACCAATCTTCTTAAAGCTATCTTCACTCCAAGATAGCACATTTCATTGACATTTTTTGAAATTTGGCATTTGTAAAATTGCTTTTCTTCTTTTTAACTTGACAGATTTCCCAAATAAAATAGCCGATTTACTTACATTCACCTTCTAGCCCGACCATTTGCAATATTTGTATAAAATACTTTTCACCTTCTTCATACTCTTGATGCTATCTTCTGGAAAGATAAGAATGTCATCTGCATAAAGTAAATGAGTGATTTTGGGAGCACTTGGAGCAATTCGGATTCCAATATTGCCACCACTTTGACTAAAAGCATTAGATAAAATCTGAAAACATATTATAAATAGATAAGGGGATATTGGACTTTTTTGTCTAAACCCATTTTAGCCTCAATCCAATCAGAATTTTTTCCATTGATTAAAATAGAGAATTTCGATTCCATAACACATTGTAATACAAGTTCAGAAAACTTCAAAGGAAAATTAAAAACTTGAGCACTTGCCTCAAAGCCGGCCACCCCATGTTGTCATATGCTTATTCCATATCAATCTTTATAGCCACTTGGCCCTTCTTAGTTTTGGAGTATCTAAATTTATTTAACACTTCCTGAGCTAATAAAACATGATTGATAAAGAGCGCCCTTTTAGAAAAGCAGCTTGTTCTTCAAAAATAATATTATTAATAACCCCCTCCTATCTATTTAACAACATCTTGGCCACCAATTTGTAAGTAGACAAGCAAAAACTAATGGGGCAAAAATTAGAAGGTACCATAATGTTATTCACCTTGTGAATAAGCACAATTAAAGTTTCTTTCCAAGTATGGGACATATTATCCGTCTCAAAAAAAAAAAAAGATTGATAGCCTTCCACACATCTTCATGAATGATCCTTTAGTAATTTTTGATAAAAGAAAAAGTAATTCTATGCATACCTGGAGAAATATTATTACCCAAATTGTCTACCACCGCTTGAAGTTTTTCTTTAGAAAAGACATCATTCAGTTTAATTTTATCATCCTCACCAATTGATTGAATTGGTTTCAGCCAGCCAATGAAGCACACAACTCCTCTCCCTCCATTTATCTTTAAAGAAACCCATGATAATATCCTCAACCTCTGCTTGATCTTCACTCAAAGCTCCATTCACATCCTTGATATGTTTGTTGACCTCATTTTTGTATGAGGCCACTTTTGACCCCTTTATGAACTCTTGACCCTAGGACCCTCTAAAACCTAGGTTCCCTTTGACTCTTGGTCTTAGGATCTTCCTAGTCCCCAGACCTTAGGATTAATCTAGATCTTAACTCAATCCAAACCCAAAATCCAAGGTTAAGGACTCAGGCCTGATACCCCTTTTGGGTGATTTTTCTATCACCTTGAAATCCAGTTAATGGACCCCTGATTTATAATCTGTCGGTTGCATATTGACAAGACATGTCTCTAGGATCAACCCTCCAAATTTAAGTTCAATCCAACACTCCTATCCCCATAAACCGAATTGAAATCCGAAGGTTGCAAAACCTTTAAATATTAACAATCTATGCCACTTGACCTATCACTTAGTAGAACCTGACCTTGGAGCCCCCTCCAAACCTTTTGATATTCTCCAATCCTTTGATTTGAATATGTTAAGCATTAATCTACATTTTTCTGGGTTCACCTTGGCTCAAAATTTACTTCAGACCAAATTTTAGTTTAATTTTATCATCCTCAACAATTGATCGAATTGGTTTCGGCCAGCCAATGAAGCACACAAGTCCTCTCCCTCCATTTATCTTTAAAGAAACCCATGATAATATCCTCAACCTTTGCTTGATCTTCACTCAAAGCTCCATTCACATCCTTAATATGTTTGTTGACCTCATTTTTGTATGAGGCCACTTTTGACCCCTTTATGAACTCTTGACCCTAGGACCCTCTAAATTGACTCTTGGTCTTAGGATCTTCCTAGTCCCCAGACCTTAGGATTAATCTAGATCTTAACTCAATCCAAACCCAAAATCCAAGGTTAAGAACACAGGTCCTGAAACCTCTTATAGGTAATTTTCCATCACCTTGAAACCTAGTAAATTGACATCTGATTCAAGGTCTGTCAAATTCATGTTGATGTGAAATTTCTCTAGTTCCAATCCTCTAAATTTGAGCTCATTTGAAGGACTCTAACCAAACAAACAAAATCCAGTTCCAAAGGTTACAAAACCTTCAAATATTTATGACCCATACCACTAGACCTATCACCTAGTGGGATTTAACCTTGGAGCTCCCTCCAAACCCTTTGATCATTTCCAAGACCCTAATATTGACTTGTTAAGCATTAATCTTTATTTTGTTTGGATTCAATCTGACCCAGAATTGACCTAAGGCCAAAATGACCAAAATACCCTGAAAGGGGATTTTTGGACTTTTGGCCTAAACGCAACTTGACTTAACCCATCAATCTTTGAAATATTCTCCAACCATTTTCAAACAATATTTGGGACCTATTGGACCCAATTAAAAACCTTGGGTTAACTTGGTTGACTATGTCAACGCAGTTTGACCTAAAGGCCCCTTAAGGGTCAAAATGGTCATTTTGACAAAAAAGACCTCACCTTGCCTTGGAATCTCTTCCAACACTTTCAAAACATCATTCTAAACCTGTTGACTCTAGTTATTTTCCTTGGGTCAACCTAGTTAACCAAGTCAACCTAGTTGGAACTAATGACCCATTAAAAGCCTAAACAAGCTTTTTGACCTAAATGACTTCTATAGGATTTGAGGCACCATCCATTAATTTTAT